TAGACTAATGCATTACCATAGTAAACTAGTGCTTTATCAGATCATATCGAATTTATAACTAAACGTTATATTATTTTATTACTATTTTGTTACTATTTGATCATTAATTATACATTTCAGTAAAGAAGTTTTCAAGAAGGAGACTAAGAAATCAAGAGAAAGAATTTAAATATAATTTAGAAAAATAAAAAAAAAAGTATTGGAAAAGTTTAATAAATATGATTATATTTTTTCATATTACATGAATTAATAGCAAAAATAGAAATTTAAATTGGTATAACATTTCACATTATCTCGTAAAAATTTCAAGAAGGATGCTTGACTAACAGTAATTAATATCGTGAATGTTATGAAAAGGTTTTTAAGAATTAACTTTTAATTAAATTAATAATACATAAATTATTTGGAAATTCATATATAACTACAAACGCAATTACCTATAAAAATAAATGTAAAGGAAAAAATTGAATTCAATTTCAGTTTCAGTTCTGATCTTTTCTGTGGTGGAAAAATATTTTATTGTATAAATTTTTTGAAAAAATGCGTGAAGAAAAAGAGAAAATTAGATAAAAGTAAGAAAAAAAAAATAAAATAAAAAATAAAATTATATATTCATAATTGAATGATTAAATATACTATGAATTTTTTTTTCCTAATATTATAATAATAAATAAGAATGAGGACAATAATATGAATATTCAAACAATTTCTACGTAAAGGTGAATTAGCAAGAGTACACATAAATCTTTATAAGCTTAACACGAAATAAATCATTAAAAAAAGAACGAACTGCTGTAACTTGTTTAAATGAGTAGTGTTAGATATAAAAACAATTCTCTTTCGTTTCAAAATCAGTATAATTATTAAAAACTAAATGGAAAATAAAGACAGCCTAGAATATCACTTTCTGAATTTGCCATACTAATTACCATATTATATGATTTAGGTAATTTGTCTGGTAATTTAAATTCCACCTTTTGATTAATTGCATCACTAGCTTTAATTGGACATCCACTTCCAGTACAAGTATCAAAAACAATGGGTTCTGCTAAAGCAGCTCCATTTGAATCACCAAATGCAACCACAAGTTTAGTTTGTTCAGTAACGTCATTCTTCAATATTCTGGTAACAGTAGCATTAAACATTTAATCATTCATTGAAAATGATACAGCGAGTAAGAGAAGGTCTCATAGACATGAATAATAGCCAGATTTTTTAAGAAGTTTATGTGGAATTGCATTGATCATGGAAAGCGTGAACAATAAGAGGAATGCAAATATAAATTTTCAGTTCATAATTATGATTTCTTTGAAAAGTTGAGTTTGTTGAGTTTTTTTTTTGGTGAATATTAGTTATCAAATAAGCTTGGATTCTTAAAAATCATTGCCCTTTTATAAGGAAAAAAGTAAAAAAAAAAATAATATTCCCATCAGTACTTTTTGTCATGATTGGTACCAAATTTTATTGATATACCATTTTGTTTCTCTTTGAAATAATTTTACAGTAAGAAAGATTTAACATGAAATTTTGATGAATTAAAAAATCTTCCATAGTAAATTTAAAAAAAAGTGATCATTTCGCATTACTAAGGAGGTCTGAGACGATCAAATAATTTACCTTCTTGTTTTAGCACTATTTTATAATTAATAAAATGAAATTATAGTAATGAATATTATTTCTTAAATTGAAATAAAGTTTAATTAATTGTAACCCGAACCTGAAAATAAAAAGGAAATTGACGCAAGAAGAAAATCAACCGCTTTGTGATCGGTGCCTCTCTTTTATCTCGATCTAACCAGATTTAGGTTAGGAAATATTCACAAAAAGAATTAGAATAAAAGTTCGATTTGTGTTTCATAAAAAATTATAGTTTTTCTTTTTAACTTTATTTATTTAAATTAATCTTTTGTAGAATTGACACAATTTTGCTTTTAAAAGATAAATCCTGAAGTTAACAATTTTTTTTATCGAATTCCCTGATTTTCGATTACTATTACTAATGGGGATTTTCGCAGCCGTAAACTCCAGTTAAATTTACTTAAAATCTGCTAGTTAATATTGAAATAAATATAAAATAAAAGTTTGCAATTCCTTGGACTTAAGTTATATTATTTAAAATGACAGTTCGAAGTGAAATTTAAGATATCCAAGCGAATTTGGATATCCAAAGTGTTCATTTGTGACATCCGAAATGTTCATTTGAGACAAATGCACTTTTAGGGCAAGCACATATCTTCATATTTGAGGAAATACCAATTACACATTCTGATTTGATATATCCGGACTGTGGTTCAGACATACATTAACTACAACAATGTCGTTATATGGGTCATGGACTAGCAAAATGTCCCTCCGAGACCATGTCAAATTTTTTTATGATTTTATATAAGCGGAACCAGTTTAACTATATGATAAACTAATTTTAGCATACAAATATAGTAAATTATCGAAATATTCAAAACTTTTTTTGAAAAAAGATGGAAAGTTGACCGTGAGAATAATTTTCAGATAATACTATATAAATTGTCACCTGATAAAAATAGACGCAACAAGTGAGATGTAATTTTATGATCAAATTTTCAATCTTATTTTCTCAAAAATTTAGATATTCCCCGGAGATACATTTTGCTAATCCACGCCCTATGAAAAATATATAATCCACTTTATGTACAGTAAATGTCCACTGTATAATCTCATAATGATCGTTCACTAAATATATATATTATGTCCATACTTAAATATTAAACATAGTTTTCAAAATAATACACTATTTATCAAGCATGTTTTAAATTAGAATCACTGATACTTATTGAAAAATTAGAAAAAATTATCTTATGAAGAAGAAGATGATGATAGAGATTAGAACTGGGTATATTTTTATATTTAGATTTATTTAATTTTAAAAATCAGATCTGAATTTAAATCTGAATATTGAATTTTATTTTTAAACTATATAGATCAAATAAAGATTTTTAAAGCTTAATAAATTATACAACTTGCGAATACTGAATTTACATAAGAATGTCAAATCTGGTTCTAACTTTTAGATGATTTTTCAAATGAAAGTTTAATCGATGAAGTAAAAAATAAGAATATTATTATGAGTTTAAATGAAAAAAAAATATAGGAAATAAATGATATAATTGGACTTGATGATCAATATGTAAATTTTTTATTTTTTTTTTTATTTATAAATATATTATATGATATTATAAAAGAAAGTGATCTTTATTATATATGATTTGCTTATCTTATTATCCAAATATAATAAATTTTTAAATTCAAAAATTTGTATAGAGTTTAATGGTTTTTGCCATCTGTCAAAACTTTTACCATCGTTGAAACTTTTGCAATTTTGCCTTTAATAAAATTATTTGGCAAAATATTTCAACAGGTTTCAATTTTGATTACTTGCTAAAACCTTCAAGTTTTGCCTAACAACCTTAATGGGATATAATAAGATTGATTGTTAAACTTTAGTTGCTCAAATGTGCAATTTGATTTAAAATAAATGCCATTTGATTTACCTTATGCTGAGAATTATGATACTCCTTTAATTTTGTAGATGACATGCAAATCTTTTTTCAATCTTTATGAAACATAGCTATTCATATTTTTGGTATCATACAAATAGTGCATTATGTGAAAGATTTTTTTCTACCTTAGGCTAATTCATGGGTCTATATCCTAACTTGAAGTAATAGCTAAAATTCAAAGATTTCACGTTTCAGAAATGCAAAATGAATTACATATATTGGAAAAAATATGTCTGTTAAAGAAATGATCAATTTATTAACTGATTCAACCAATGATGAGTTAGATAAAGAAGAGGAAGAGAATGTTGATATAGATTTTAGAGAAGACTTAAAAATAGTAACAGATATTAATTTAAATATTACTTTAACTTTAGATTAAAATGCTGTGATTTTCAATAATAATAATAATTATAATACAGATCTTTATGGAGATAATGATCAAAAAGAAACAAATTCAGAAAATGAAGAAAATTTTGATTTGAAAGATTTGATAGATTAAAGTTTGAGTAAAGGATGTTATTATATAAGCGTAGAATAAATTTAGCATTTTTTTTTTTATAACTTTATAAATAGCTCGTGACTTTTAAGAAATTTTATTTTTATTATATAAAATAATTAACCAATTTAAATTAAGTATTTAATTATGCATTATAACGAATAATGCATTAATTATGCATTATGCTTTATAAATGATTATTTGATAATTACAAATACGATTACGCATTATTTCGTAATTCAATAATTACGATCGGCAACTTTAACCTCGAAAGCGAAAATGCGCGTTTATTATTTTTAAATTTAAAGTTTTAGGCATAATTATACATCAATGATAAAAATATCGTATAAAAGTATTAAATCATGAAAAAAAGTGAAAAAATTATTAATTGGCTCAATGAAAATTTGTCATATGTTAATTAATTTACTTAATTTGTTTGTTCGATTTTATCACTAGATGATCGCGCCTTATTTATCATATAAAAGTTTCTGTTTAGAATATTCCATGATGGAATTCTAAATAGAATTTTTTATATGATAAATAAGATCTAGAACAAACAAATTATCACTAGATGATCGCGCCCTTATTTATCATATTTATCATACAATTATATAACAAATTTTCATTGAGCCAATTAAATTGTGACGGAGAATAGAAATTTTTTTATTTTCTTATATCACTTCTGATCATTATAAATAGACCTTCACTTTTTTTAATGATTTAATACTTTACTTTATATACCATATTTTTATCATTGATGTATAATTATGCCTAAAACTTTAAATTTAAAAAATAATAAACGCGCTATTTCGCTTTCTAGGTTAAATCGAGAAATTGAAATTTGCGACAACACCAATAATGATTTCACTGAAATCAAACCGACTTTCCCTCCAGATTTAACGATAAACGACCTCATCAAAAATGTTATTTAATTGAAATCACCCCCAAACGCTTTTATCGCGTACAGAATGGCGTTAATTAAAGAATATCGTAAAAAAAATATTAAGTTACCTCCTATGGGCCAATTTTCCAAAATCACAAAACAATCTTGGAGTAAAGAAACAGAAAATGTAAAAGATTTTTACATTAATCTAGCTAAGGATGCCAAATCCCATTACATGGAAAACAAAACTATTCAATTCGTATTTGATAGACATATGAGCGACAGTCATATTACGACAGGTGATGCAGAATATTATGTCGACCATTCTGGGTCACTTTCTCTTGAGAATTCTACCATTAGCGTTACGAATTTTTCTGATACGATTTCTACTGCTAATCCTAATTATAACGAAAATAATTTAATCGCTAGCTATCAAAGGCATATTTATTTGTTGGAACAATTAAATAACAATTTGTTTGATATACTTGAATTAACTCAAGATTAGTTGCTTTTTTCATGGATATTTTTAACTTTAGTTTTAATAAATAATTTTCAAATTTTATACTGCCCTTCCTAATTTACACCCTCAAAATTATTTTTATTTCTACTAACATTTTTCAATTTCTGTTAATTCTTAATTAAAATCATTCTCTTAGTCAATTTATGAAAACTCAGCTTAACTTTTTTACGATAAAGTTAAATATAATGGTTACGTTCAACGTCATATTAACTATTATTATTTGATTGTGTATTTGTTTGTTATGAATTAAAGGTGAAATTTTCTTGCGATTTATATAAAAATTAGAAGAACCTCCTAAATAAATCAATGGAATCTTAGAAATAATTCTTTATTTTATATGTGAAATAATAATACAGCAGCATGATACGAATGTATATTTCCATAATTTTAATAATCTTATATAAATATTAAAACGCTATTATTCAATGGTGTTAATCGTCAGCAAGTTCTAAATTTTTTTAAAGATTTTATGATCAAAATTCCTCGGGATACTATAAATTGCTCACAAGCCTTATTGATTTAATGATGATGTTAATATGTAGTTGATAAGATAATAGTCAAAAAAAAAAAAAATTTGCTGCGCCATACCGTGTTTATTATTTAAGAAAAAAAATTTATTAAATGATAATGTAACACGAGTTAAGGTACAATACAAATTTGTCCAAGATATACGTTAATGATGTTAAAGGTGTGAATTCAAAGTTACAAACAACGACATATTATATAATATTATATGAATCAAGATTTTAATATAAAAATTGATAATTCACCGCGTATGATCATGTCGGTAAAATGATTCTGGGTACCGACCATTGATATTTCTTTTGGATTAGAATAGTTATACGAAGATGTATCAAAATTTTTCATTTGCACGAACATAGGATATTTGTTAAAGCTACAGTAGCGGTCATAAGTATCCGACCGCCTCTAACTCCGGCTACAAGTAAGTAAATTCAAAATTTTTTTTTTTAT